GAATGTCCTGGGTTCGAACCACAGTACCACAAAAAGAAACAGAGAGGAATGGAAGACAAGACAAAAGAAGAGAAACCAGGTAACTTATCTGCCTGATATAATGAAAGTAATGATAATTGTTATCTATGCCATATTAAGTATACACAAGAACAAAAATGTACAATTGTTAAAAGCAGGAACTCCACTAAAACTTTACTATTAAAATAAACTGGGGGGCTGGGGATTTAGCTCAGTGGTTTTACGGCCTGCTGCGTAAGCACAAGGACCCGAGTTCGATCTCCAGTACCAAAATAAAAGTAAAAATAAAAATAAATTTTACTCTACTTTGCCCTTGGCCCTTCTTTGTCCTTACAAATCACAAATTTTTGTAATATTAATTTGGACAAGTCATCTCCAATACATACATATTAATTTAAATTTCATTTTCATGACACCTATTAATAACTCATCCAGAAAAAATCCTCTTATCAAAGGCATATGAAGAGCTAGTCAAAGTCTTACCAAACTGTTATATCAGTTTTACAGGTATTCTTTAAATACATTTCATTTCTTCTATCAAATATTACAATCCCTGATAATTACATGGCAACTTAAAGGGATTTTCTCTTTTTCTGATGCTTAAATTTAGGTGTGATCAACTATTAAACACAGAAATAGAGTGCATCAATATAAATTCTTCCACTGTATAGAAATTAATACTGAACCTTAGGAAAATGAGAGCTCTTGAAAAGTGACACTGGTAGCCACAAGAAGCATGAGTAGAATTTATATTTCCTGATGTTAAACCCAAAGGTTTTACTATTCATTCATGCTGCCTTTTGGTGAGTAACTCTGAGTTAGTCTCTCTTGGGAGATTTTTTTTTCCCCCAGTACAGAGGATTGAACCCAAGAGTGCACTATCAGAATTTTTTTTTTTTTTTTTTTATTCAAGGTCTCACTAAATTGCCCAGGCCAGACTCAAACTTGCAATCCTTCCACCTCAGCCTTCCTCAGGACTGGGACTACTGCCATTCACCATGAGGCCAAGCTTTGGGGGGAGATTTTTGACACCAGGATTTTCTGTAGGGGACATTTAAGAACCATTTAGTGATTGTACCCATTGAGTGACACCATACAAAAAAAGAAAGAAAGAACAGAAAAGACAGCATTTACTAAAGGCTTCCCTGGAGTTAATGTTTCCTAACATGAGCTATCAATTTCTAAAAAAATTTACATTGACAAGTGCGACTCAACTATTTGATTATCGTACTTGATTACACTGACCAGTTTAGACATGGAAAAATATTAACCACATGAAAATAAATCACTGAAAGTAGAAATGTACCATGTTCCTAGCAGTCCATCCATCTCCAGTGCCTAACTGTCCATCCTTCTATGTCTCCCAGAAACCAAAGCCAGTGGAGTTGCAGCCAGAAGCAAGACACACCTACAGCATAAGAGAACAATTAACTGATGACTGAGATTCCCTAAAAAAGCCAAAAACACAATCTAGTGGGGCATTTTGCATATAAAATTGAAAAATAAATGTGACCAATTATCTCCTATTTAAAAATAAAGGCTGATAACCCTAAAAAAAATTATAAATTAGTATGGGTTTTATTCTGAAGGAAATATTTTAAAGAAGGAAAAATGGAAGATTTTTTTAAAGGGATAACAAAAAATGATGGTTGAAAGAATAAATGAGAGAGGAAATTGCAGTCAGATAGGTAAGGCCGGGCCTGACTCTTAGGATTTAACCTGTCTCTCCTATTCTTTTTATTTCCTTATCAATTCTCTTTCAACACTCAATTCCTTTGCTTTCAGGAAAATTAGTATTTTATGTTTAGATTTTTAAACTTATTATCAAAGAATATGGTGACAAATCTCCTCGTCAAAATTATAAACAGAGTACCCAGAGGTTGGCTGAGAACTGTAAAAGAGGAAAATGTTGTTGTAAAATTAGAAAATTGATTTTTTTTCAATCTAGCATGCTGCCTTATGGATAAAAAGCAACCAAACTGAAGAATGTGTAACTGACAAGCCTGTTTGCATATAGTGACCTCCTCTCCTTGTATTACAGGAAAACATTTCCACCTAGAGTCCTTTCACTGAATATCTGGAGAGCAAATGAAATCAACCTTAATGACTACCAGAGCCAGATAATAATCAGTTTTTCATTGAAGCACCAAGTCAACTAATTTGTGACAATTTTCTATCACTTCTTATTCTTGACATGAAGTTTCAGAGATTCAAATGGTTTTTAGGTTCAAAGCATCCTAGAACTGTATTTCAAAGTTTGGTCTATTTTAAAATTCATTTATTAGAGAAAATAAAATTCTTTGGAGATAGAGTCCTAAAACTGAACTTGAAATTACAAACCAGTCTCACTAGTTTGATTCAATTAAATGTCAAGAAACACAGTCTCACTTAAGCATGATATACACAGATTGTGAACACTGGCAGGTCCCCTGTTGGTATCAGAAGTATGTTTTAGAGACAAATGAGCCTTTAATATCTAGTTGCCTTAGTTAGCTATTCAACGAATAAGTGATTTATGTCTATATATTCAGACAACTAGATTTAGATGAGTAACATTTTTCACACCATGAAATTTCTAAAACAATGTATTTTAAGACCTAATCATCCTTTGAGGGACTTCAGTATATATATTCTTGCTTTGCCACAGAGCTCTATCCAAGGTAATGCTTAATGACAAACTTACATAAATCTTTTCTGAGTTGATGTTAGGTTATTCTGGAGTTTAAAACATCAATGAATTGTTCTGCTTTGGTTTCCACTAAATTACAACTGTTATGTAAAAATATGAACTTAACTTAATCGATAAGTAATGGATGCCCTCCACATAAATGATAACGAAACCACTTCATCCATTTAATTTAAATATTGAAGATAGAAGGACAGGACAGTATCTCACACCAAATCTTACTCGTTTTCAGCAGGATGCCCATTTTTTTCTTCTTCACACTGTATTCCAGCTGTACTGGAAGTAATACACGCTCCTAGGTGATGATGACAGTACGAGGAAAAACATCTCCTTCTTTGAAAATGTTAACCACCGTTTCCCATTTCAGAAAAAAATATATTTCACTCTTCCAGCATGTGGCACAATATTTGACAACTGCTGGATCTTGGCTTTTATTCAGTATTCCTAGAATATTCTACAACCCATTGTATTTTTGGTCACCTTTCAGTATTATTTTGCAAGACATCTAATATCACAAGTCGTGTTTGTTAATTGCCATCTTTACAGGATTCTAGAATTGCATTATAAAGTGTAAAATCATCACACATGATGTATGACATGCACAAACAGAACAACACACTTTTAAAAAGCACACACACTGCTGTTGTCTGACAGACACCAAGTAATCACAGCAAACAGGCACAATGCCCACCTTTTTTTCTAAGGCACAACAAACATATTCAGTGACCACCGTGCCTGGGTAGTAAGCAGTACTAAGCAGAGATGAAATCTGTTAGTGGCTGGAGCAAAGTGAATAATGTCAAACACTGTGAAATGTGAAATTAGACTTCATCAAATAATCTGAACCTAAGGCCGTTTCCTGGCTTTAACCCTCCTTTCCCACCTCCCACCCACCCCTCCTCACCCCACACACACAAGCTTAACTTCATCCCCCTTTCTCCCCTGAGGTTCCGGCCATGGCTTCCTTCTCCCCTTTTCCCCCTCTCTCTGTCTCTGCAAGTCTTGCAGCAGCTTTGCTCTCAGAGCCAAGCCCTTGGGTAAAGAAATCTGTAAAATGCTGAATGGGGAGCCTTCACCATCAGGTGAAGAGGAAGAGGGTGTGGTACTCTTTTTTTTTTTCTCCACCACACCCCATCCCTGGAGTCTTACACTTCGGCCAACTGCAGCTCAGAGGGGACACAGCAGGTCCCCTTGCTCACCTCGAGCAGCCCTGACCAGACCAGCCACCTGGCGCGCTCAGCAAGAAAAAAAAGAAAGAAAAAATAAATAAAACTTCCCTTAAAGCAAGCAAATATTCAAGGGAGGCGGGCGAAACAGGGAGTAGTTAGAATACACAGTACCGGGAGCACCACGGAAACAAGGCACCTTTCGAGGCAGACCCTATAGATCCGCTCACCGCCCACTCGCTCCCACCTGAGCGATCCGCTGAGAATTTGCAGAGACCCGGGGTGGGGTCAGGAAGGAGCGGAAAGAGGATGTTACCTCCCGGGGCTGCCCTGAGGGCGCCGACGAGAAGGGCATCCTTGAAGTGGCTCCAGCTCAGGGCACACCTTTCCGGGGCTCAGCGGGACTCGGACCCGCGTCCCCGAGGCGCAGCGCGCTTCGGGATTCCGACTCACGTCCTCCGACCCAGCTGCGCTCCCTCCCCGTCGGCGCCGGCTCTGCCACCCCGCGGGCACGCTCGCTCCCGGTCCTCGCCCCGCCGCCTCCCGGAGCCCCCACACCCACCGCTCCGCGGCGCCCGCTGGGAGCCTCTAGCGGAGGCGAGGGGAACCGCACCGACCCGAGGCGCCCGGGCTCCGACGCCGGCTGCAGGGCGCGGGCCGGGCGGGTGCGTGGGTTCCACGAGCCCCCGGTCAGCCGGCCGAATGCCGCCGCCGCCCCCACCTGCCCACCTGCGCCAGGCTCACCTGCCACCCGTCCTAGCTGCTTTCCCGGTGTCCACAGTTCCCTATAGCAACGAGGGGGTGGGTCTGCAGTGCTAATGGGGGAAAAAAATTTCAGAGGGAAAAAAAAAACCCACGCTGTGAAGCAGCCTGGACAAACGAAACGACTTAACCCGACACAAATTGCCAATAGGTTTCAAAAAGTGTGAGGACGAGGCGCTCCCTCTGGCTTCCGGCCTCTCCGGTGGGCGCCAGCAGCGCCGCTCCTCTCCAACCGGCGCCCCAGCCGGGCTGTGCAATTGCGTGGCGACCCCTGGGGGGCACGTAACTCGGCTTAACCCCTACAGATCCCCAACGTCTCCTTGTAAGTTATTCTCCTCGGAAGTCTCAAGCTTCGATTTAGCTCTTACCTTGCGACGCTGTTAATTCTCCTTCATGTCCTTAAAATCCAAAGCCGAAGCTGCGACGCACACAAGTCCGGAGCTGTCCCTGACTTCGCCGCCGCGGCGGTGCCGGCGCTTCCCGGCTGAGGGGCGGAGAGGGGCGGGCTGCTAATAAGCCCTCGCGTTGAGGCGCCTCCACACCTCCTCGCCGGCGGAGACGAAGACGGGGACAACCTCCTGGGCCCCGGGGGCCTCTGGTCCCTGCTCAGGCAACTTGGCAGTGCATTCGGTCTCCTCCTGGAGCCCCACGAGCACGTCAGGCGAGAGCCCGGCGGGCGGCAGGAAAGACGCGGAGAGTCTCGGGGCGGCCGCTCCAGTCTCCTGCACTCCAAACTGCCCTCCGCCTTTTCTCCTCTTAATTTGGAAAATGTACTCTGTTCAGATTTGGTGGGGAGCGGGCGGAGAGGTGCGGTTCAGCACCGCGTCTTCCGGGCAGCCAGGGCACTGAGGCGTCTGCGCCGCGGAAACTTTGAGCGGAGGCAGTGGCGGCCAAACGCGACGGGCGCCAGGTGAGGAGGCTGCGAGCAGGCGGCTACCAGGAGCGGGAACACCGGGCGGGCGACGGGATGCTGAGTCCCGGCGGCCCCACTCTGAGCGTGGTGCGCGCACACACGCGCGCGCGCAATAGCGCACGCGCGCCCGGCCCCGCGCCGTCTGCCCCAGGCCGGTGGCCAGGGGTAGAGGCGGAACGGGGGCGAGGGGGGGTGTTCCCACCAGAACGTAGACGACGGGGAGATTCAATCACTGCTCACTAGTTAATGGATTGGTGCCTTGTAGTTTCACCTTGCTCTCCAGTCCCTTCGGCCATCTGCCCCGGTCTGCCCTGCTAGGCATCTGGAACCCCTGGCTTTTTCCTTGAGGCCAGCTACTCTCCCGGAACCCTGCGGGAGGTCGCCGCCTAAAGATGAACCTCTTCCCTACTAATCTTCCGAGGCCACCTGCCCCTTCCACGCAGGAGAAAGGACGTGGCAGCGGGCGGCTCACTAGGGGAGCCCAGAAGCTCCCCGAGGTCTTTCGAGTAGAGGAGCCCAAACGTTATTTTCTGAAAAGAATCCCCGGTCAACCCGCCTTTTTTGCGCACCCCCTCTAGTAACATTTTTTTCCCAGGGAGTTCCTGAAGCTCGGTTAGATGTCGGTAAAGATCTGCCCAGGGACTTGTGATGCCTAGCTTTTGGAAGTGAACTAATTTAGGATCTACGCTTATATTGTAAACTGGACGGTAGCAGGTGAAAGACTCAGCTGGAGAAAGGGGAGGGATTAAGAGTCTGGAGGCCCAGCCCCTTTCGCGGCCATTTCCAAGGTTTGGCACCAGCGGTAGCAAGCTTCTGTCCCAACTTCGTACTCTTCCCTCGATGGCCAGCCAAGCGATCGATCACTGGATGCTGCATAGCTGGGGGCACCCTAAGTCAAAGATACGTCCCTCTAAGCAGCACCCCAGGACCGTCCACAGCTCCCTGGAAAGGATCCTCCCAGTGGGAGTTTGCCTTACCCGGACTGAGCAGCAAGAAATAATTGTTCAAGGGAAGTAAACTTTGGGCCATTTGTGCGTGTGCATGTGTGTATGTTTACCACGATTCGCCTAGGTGCTCGGCGCAGACTACAACAGCGCTGTGTTACGCTGCCTTCCCAAGTACTTGACAGACCGAGGATTGCTGAAGGGTTTTCTATTTGGGGCTTCGCCAATCTCCACAGTTTGGGACCAGGCGGCCGAAGAGGCAAAGTGGTGCTGCGTAGAGGTGGCGCTAGGTTCCTTCGCCTGGCGCGGCCGATTCAGCGAGTTCTATCCTTGCAGCTCCTCCTCCAAACCTGGGACTCCTGCAAGTAGGAAGTCGGCTGACTTCCCGCTGGAGAGCACCGGGCGTGGACGCTGAACGTGGAGTTGCGGAGTGCAAAAACAGAACTGGAGGATTTAGTAGAAAAAATTGAAACATGTCTCTGTAAGAGCTCTAGCACCGTCACTAGCAGTTCGGAAAACCGTTACAGCCTTCCCAGGTGAACGTTGCAGGTTCCAGGGCAGCAGACCAGTCTCGACAGGCCAAATCTGAGTTACAGGAAAGAGTTTAATTTTGGATTTTGTAAGAGCGGAACCTGGCAGAAGCACTGACCGGAAGGAACTGTTGATGTTCAGGGTATTGGATTCGTGCAGACTGCTCCGTGGAGCGAGCGATCCGCTGGCGACTCCCTCTCACAAACTTGGTAGGCTGCTCGCTTAGGGGGTCGGAGTGTGGGTGTCCAACAAGCCCTGTCTTTCCTCCTGAGGCAGTTAAGGGAATAGCTTGAAGCCAAGCCACCACGGAACGTGCTTGAAGGAAAAGTGAACAGTGACTTTGGTGGTGAGATGCTTAGTAATAAAAGGGGCAGGTTTCTGTGTCTATTAGTTTTCGAAGAGCAACTTTTTTTTTTAAGGTTTGATATCCCAAGATGTATTACGGGACAGACTCTGCAGAGTTGCAAAGAGGATTTTCGGCAGGTATTAATCTGTAGGTTGTTGGTTTGACCCAGGGTTTTATGCTACTTTGAGTTTTTATTTCTAATCAATAAAGGGCTGCTCTGTTACTAAAGTGGGAATAAGGATTGTGATAAACTGCTTCCAACCAAAAGTCATTTTAACTTACGATTTCTGATTACATAACACTATCATTTAACAGTAAAATATTGAGGTAGACAATTAGACATGAATTGAAGGATTGTCATCAAGAAATTCACTTGGTGAAAGAAAAACCAAAATTTACAGCAGAATTTTTCTCAAAAAGCTTCTGGCTTCAAATTCCCTTCATGATGGCTCTTAGTCTGTAGACTTCTGTCTCCTACTAACTCTTCTCTTTAAATAAATAAACATAGGTAATTTGTACATTCATTAACTTTAATATCCGAAGGGTGCTTTATAGTGCTTGGGAATGTTTTTACAAGATATGTAGGCAGCACTGTTAACCAATAGCATATTATATAAAAGCCATGTAATTTTGGACTTTCTTCAAGAAGCATTCACTTACTCCTCTTGCAAAAGTGCAATTCCTGAAATTTTTGAAAAACTAAACTCGCATTTGTTACACAAATAATGAGGATAGAAATTACTCTCTTACCCTCAGTTTTCACACTTTACTTTCCTAAGGAAAAATAATTTGCAATAAACAAAGTCAACATCAGGATCCAAAGATCCGCTCCATTTCTTGTGCCCTACATCTATTACAGAATTGAGAAGAAGCTATTGAAAAATCAAAAGTACTGTCAAATCCAAGAGCCTTTGGAATCCTCCCCACACACCAAATTAAAATAACTACTGCATGGTTCTAGTGTTTTGTTTTTCCATAATCTTGAAGAAGTGCAAATTGAAGTAGGCTTATATAATATCCCTTGCAATGAGACTACCTTGAACCTTTTATTTCTTTAAGATTAGTACTTTATAAAATGTATTTTCAGGATACTTTTTGCTTATCTGAAGGATAGCATATCATCTCTTGATGAAATGGTTTACTTTAAAGTCATTATTTGTTTACTGGTATGCTTTATCCACCTCACTATAAACTTTAAAAGTAGGGGTGGAGTCATATATGTAGTTGTTCCCCAATATAAAGTACAGAATCTAATACTGTATAGAATAAAACAGATGCATACAATGAAGGAAAATAATAATGAAAGCAACTATTTATTGAGTAATAGCAATGTGATGCTATTTATGTACATTATCACAGTTGATCCTTTATAGCCTTACATTATAGGCAGATGCAAATTTACCTAAGATAATAAAAAAAATTTTGCCATACTTACATTAGCATGGAACCAATATCCGCCTGACTCTAAAAGCTGCACTGTTAACTATTTTGCTCAGTTCAAATAGCCAGGCAGCACATTTGTAATTTTTCAAGATTAAAGGGAATTTATATTTTTTAATGCTTTTAAAGAACATGGCAAATATTAAATAAGCTCTTTAGGTTTATGCAATCTGGTCAATATATAGGTATAGGAACACTGGAAGAGTTTCATTCTCTTACTGTATTAAAATATGATAGTGGATTTGTGGCATTGTTACCATCAATATTAAATGCTGAGTTGCAAGTTTTCTTGAAGAGAAGTCACACCATAAAGAATTTATGATTACAGAAAACTTCTCATTTTTTATTTCAAGTTGATATTCTTTTGTGAAAAAATAGAAGAGAATAGTATTATAAAGTTTCAGTTACGTAAAATGAACTCATTCTAGAAACATGTTGTACAACATGTATCTATAGTTAACAATAATGTCATGTATACTAAACTTTTGTTGAAGATGAATCTCATGATAAGTGTTATTACCACAATTTTTAAAACAGTAAGAGCCCTGGAACATGGATGATATTGAATAGGAACATGCCATAGAAATGTAATTGTCATTTCCAGTACCTTGTATTACAAACTATATTTAAAATCAAATATTATGGTACAGATAGAATGTATCTATGCCACAGGAGACTATGCTGCTATAGGACAAGAATAAGGAAGTTCTTTTCATGTTGATATGAAATGTTTTAGGTAAAAATAACAAGGTACAGCAAGGTGTTTCAGCCAGATATTAATAAAACTGGTTGAGGTTGCAGGGTAAATAAACAGATGGGATCAAGGGGAGACATAAAAATTCTTATGTTTTGTTTTGTTTTGTTTTTGATTTGAGGACCATGTGAAAGTTTTACCTTTTAAAAGAAAAAAAAGAATATTTTGAGAAGTTGTATAGAAAAAAGAGAATAACAGGCATCTCTTTAAATTTTTAAAGGTTAAAAACAAAAAGATGATTAGAAGGTGTTCAAGAACATGCCCTGAAATTTGTTTAGTTACTCACTCCCTTTACAAGAGAGAGACCTTGTGAAGTGTCCTTGCTTGGCCTACTGTAACAAAATGCCATAGCCCGGGTAACTAAAATGGCACAAATTTACTTCTCACTGTTCTGGAGACTGGACTAAAATCAAAGCACCAACAAATTTGTTTCCTGGTGCTGAGTCTTCATTTGGAAAACAGATGCCTTCTAACTAGGTCTTCACCTGGCTTTTCCTCATTATGTGCACAGGGGAACAAGGTAGGAGGTGAAGAAGAATGAATGAGAGCTTTGTACTTCATTTTGTGAGACAAAGGATTCCCTTATAAGGGCCACACCCTCTGACCTATTAACCCTAATGATCTCCCAAAGTTCTCACCAAATCTCTTCCAAATACCACTACATTAGAGTTTACAACTTCAGGATGTGAATTTAGGGAAGAGAACACAGCATTCAATGCATAACAGGAGGTGACAAGTCTAATCTCCTTGTCAGGTGGCCTATCATGGATTAGACTAATGGTTACTAGGAGGAAGAGGTCTGTTATTGGAGGCATTTACTAGGATGTCTCTCGTTTAGAACTACTTGGAAGGAATAGAGTCAGAGTCTATGAGGAATGACTTCCTGGAAAATGTCAGATAGGTTGTGTAATTTTGGATTATAAAATGTAGATGTTTTATAATTGGAACCCTACCCACTGTGTGAAGAACCACACATACCTTACTTAGAGATACATATTCTGAGTTACAGGAACATGTGTAATACAGAAAAAGAAAGATGAACAGAGCTGTTATTGATGAACTTTTATTTGATTCCTTGAAATTACTCAGTTTATCTTGATCCTTTTTATGGTTTCTGATTTATGGCAGTCTGTTTTTAAAATCCACTCCTGTACAATAGCTAAAAAGTTTCTGGTTTAATTCCTATAATAACACACTTTTGCTCAACATCTTTTAGGTACCAGACATATCCTAAAATAAACAAATTAATTGACTCATTTAATATTAACACCATCCATTAGTCATTATCTTCATTATATAGTGGACCCTCAAGTTAAGACCAGCCTGACATATGAACAACTTGGGTTAATTAAGCTAATGGAATATTCATCTGCCTCTTGTTATCTATAGCATGTACCCA